AGCAGATACAGGGAAGCAGCATCTGGAAACAATTATACATTTCTGTTGCAACAGTACTATATGCACATCACTTTAAAACCAAATTAAACTTACCAAAGGGGTGAGTGAATTTTCACATTCCCTCTGAAAGACATCCACATCTTTCCTTTCAGTCAGCAGTGGCCACGCTCTGGTTTCTTTGAGTCCTTTACGTATTTGTTTCACCTGCCGTAATCTCCTTCCAATGACCTATTGTATTGCATATATTAGATTATTAGGTTACATGAATACAATTAATATTATAGTACACCAATGCTTAAGTTTGAAGGTTAATTAAACAAAAGAAAAAAAACAACAACAACACTACCGCATATGATAAAAGGCGCTCAAAAAGCCACTTCCGGTTTTCTTTGGTTGGGCCAGGAAGATCCCACGCAAGACTCAGGTCAAGGACAGCTTGATATTCACTGCTAGTGAGTTCAGCCTCTCTATCAAGCTCCATGTAGAACAGTATAAATGAAAGTAAAAAAAAAAAACAAGAATGCAATTATGAATGGTTTAAATTACGGCTAAATTATGCTACTGTATGTATGTATAATGTAAATACCAGTTTTATCACTCTACAAGAAATTGTGATGATGATGGAACAAGATGACCTGGTTCACCGTCAAAGAGACAGGTTCTTGCAGTATTTCCTGTTTTAAAGTAATGGGCTAAAAGTTATATTTTGGATTCAAAGATTAAACAAAATACTATAGTCAATGTTCCATAATAAAATAGCTGACATACCCATGTTAAAATTAAATCCATGCTGAAGCCTCTATATAACAGTAGACAAGAAATGTCTGGTTACTCCCTCACCAATGGCAGCATCCCCTGAATGTAACAGCAATTCACAGCAACAGTCCAAAAAAAAAAAAAGAGAGAGAGAGAGAGACATGGCCATTAAAACCTAACTAGGAATGCCACTAAATAAACGTATTTACTTGTTTAACCTTGGAGTCTGCACTTCACAGGGCTTGCTCATTCTATGCCGTTTTGTTTGTAGAATGCAACAAGTTCTTTGTCTTGATCTTCCTTGTCCATCCTCAAATCCATGGTCATCAAGAGGGGCTTTCTCATCTCATGTTGGCAAATTATTTCCTTTGTGTATAAGGATGCTGCTTTATTTTTATCTGGTTCAGTTTTCCAATCTGCAACAAAAAAAAACACAAAAGCAACATGTCAACAGTTCAGCTAAAGCTAATTGTGTATTCTATTTCAGTTTTACATCTCAGAAATGTATTATGCTTATCAGTTCCAAAAAAAAGAAAAAAAGAAATGCATACCATAACTCATGCTTGTGGCTTCAGCTGCATTTGAATGATCACCGGTATGCGTCACAGGCACGGAAAATCCAGATGTAGATGGTTCCTCCATAGACGCATTGAATTCCAGAGGTGGCGTGCTTACAATATAATACACAAACTTCATTACCACACTTGTGTGCAATGAAGGAACAAAAGTCCTTTATAAATGGATGACCTCAAAATGTCTAAATGAATTGAACATTCATAATTTGAACAAAACACAATATTCAATTCACAATTGTATAGTGAAGAAAACCTGCGGCAATCCTAACAGCACACACAATGAAAGTACAAAAAACAAAACAAAAATAAAAATCACTGAATTGACTGGAAATATGTTGTGCGCTTTCAAAAAAAATATTATTTTCCTCACCTGTCACCTGTGCAAAAACTTGCGTGAATCTCTATCACATCAAGAGGCATTTCATTTTGACAGATGGGGCAAGTTGCCTAGAGGAAACAAAAACAATATAACTTTTCTTTCATGTTGTTTCAACCATGTATGAGTTTATTTACCATGGATGGGACAACAAGATATTCTGAAGACTGATCATTAGATGTGAAAAAAAAAATCTTCCAATTATTTTGTGTATTCTTTTTTGTGTTTTAAAGATATACAGGTTATGAATGACACATGAAAGACTAAAAGACAGAATTTTCCCTTTAACCTGCATATGCAAGAAACAAAAACAGAGAAATACAATGTGTTATCAGAATTATTTAGATAATTTGCCGTTTTCAAAAGCAGCACTAAAAAACTGTTTTAAAAAAATATTTATCATACCTTATTAAACTTCCAAATTATGTATTTAAATTAAATTAACTATTTTAATATATCTTACTTGATTGGTCTGTTCAGCTTCATCAGTTGTCACACATGACTTTATGTGTGCAGTCAGGATGACTAATGGATAAGTGATTCCACATTTCTGGCATTTCTCTTTTGGCATGTCATTAAAGCTTTCAGATTCAGGTGGCAGAGCAGTGGTTTCAAGTTCCATTTGAAGAGGAGCTATGTAAAGCACTCCTTTAAAACCTTGTGTTGCTGCCTTCAAATGCTTGGCACTGTACCCACTCTCATCGGGTGGAATAAGGTTGAGCTTCCGGGAGCCCCATCCTCCTTAAATTAAAAAAAAATAATAATAATTAATTAATTAAAAAATTACACAAAATACTAAAAAACACAACGCGGTATTGGATTTTATTAGATCATTCCTTGTATTTTGTTATGCCAGGATTCATGTTTTAAGCTTTGCACAAGGGTATTTACTTACACAAAATATGGAATGTTATTAGTGATTATGTGAAAATTCAGAAATGTATTTGATGTGAATGAATTTTTTTCATTGCAATATATCACTATGTTCCTGATGATTACCTGAAGATTTATAGACAAGCCAACCCCCCTTTACTTCCTGAAATTTTGGGAACAGATCCTTCAGTTGGGCACATACCTTACAATGTAAATAACACTGAGTAAAAATTAAATGCCCAACAGTTACAAGTGCAACACTGGTACAAACAGCTTATAGTGTTTCATTACAGTAATGTGCTAAAGAGCACCTCAGCACCCATGTTCCAGCTATACAGAGTTACTAATGAATTAAGCTCTGTTACATTAGCAAAAGAGAATTTTAAAAGATGCAAGAGAAACATCATGCATACTTACGTCATCATAAGTTGCATTTAGTGATGCACGATCATGATTTTTCATGGCCGATTCCGATACCGATTTTTTTACAAGCAAACTGGCCGATTCCGATTTTTTTTATTTTTATCAAGCAACAAACAAGAAAGAATAAAATTACACACAAACAAGATGTTTATTTGATAGTTAACAGGCTAAACTGTGTTTTGGCTATTGAAAACAATAACTGTAACCATCTGAAATTAACAGCAGTAACTGTGCAGTAAGTAGGCTACATTCAATACAAACATCAATACAAACATAGGTAGGCCTACTGACAAAAGCATTTAGTTTTTGTTTTTAAATTGGGTTGAAACTATAAACTGGCCTTAAATGAAAACATTAACTGTAACCATGTAATTTTGGCAACAACTGCATAGTTCCACAATCCAAACAACACAATCAAAACACATTCAACACCTAACAAAGATGTTACTTAATCAGCATTCAGCATTTGTTTTCGTTTTTAAATTTGGTGTAAAGAAAAAAATATCTTTACCAGTGAAACTAAATAAAACCAAAGTAGGCTATATAAATAAATTATTCCAAAACGTTAAATCAAATAATGTTTAGTGCAACGAGTAAAACAAAGATGCTACGGCAGGTCGCGCAACTTCAGCGAGTGCAGGAAAGCGGCTCTTATTTGTGCGCCAGTACACCAAAGGCTGTTCGCTTCTTGGTATCTGTGCCTCAGACAGGTAGCTTTGCATTTCCAGTGCTGTACGGCTGCCCGTATCCTTAATCACTTCAGATTTTTCTTCCAATATCTCATCGTGCATCGCCAACAGTGAGCTTGCTCTGCGTGGTATTTTTTCTGCTGGCGCCTTTGTGCACTCTTCATTCCCTTCAGCGTATCTCGTCTCTTCCCTCAGTTCTCCTGTTTCTGGTTGTAACACCTTTTGAAGCATTTCTCGTACTGTATGTTTGACTGTGTTGGAGAAATATAGATCCTTGTACCTTTTTATTAAACAAACAAAAAATGACAGATTATAGCCTGTTATTATGTAGAGCCTTATTATTATTATTATTATTATATTGTTGTCTTTACCTCGGATCGAGGATCGTAGCCAGATAGTACAAGGGCTCCAGTTCAACATCGCTGAATCTTTTCTCAACCGCTTCTAAAAGAGTGGATTTGAGAGTTTTAACGCCATGATCCGTTTCAGCACTTTTTTTAGGAGACGTTTCAGTGCAAGCGAATGTTTGAAATGGCCAACTATTTTTCTTCCGGTCGCTACTATGTCAGTTACACTGCGCTGTGAGAGCAACCCTTCATTTACGGCCAGCTGAAGAGTGTGGGCCATACAAGGCAGATTAGGTAGGTGAGCATCCTGCAGTGCTTTACACATGTTTGCGGCATTATCACGCACAATTACATGCACTTTGCTTTTGGAAATGTTCCAGGTTTTAAGCATTTCGTCAAAAGCCATCAAAAGCGCAGATGCTGTATGTGAACCTGAGAATTCTTGTGCATGTAAGAGAACTTTTTGTAGTTCTGTAGTTTAGTTCGAAATCAGCATCAATATACTGGGCCGTCAGACTCAGCATAGATATTGGGCTCACATCAGCGCTCCATATATCAGTGGTAAAACTAATGTATCTGACCTCAGCATTAAGTAGACTGTGAACATGAGCTGACTTTGCAGCATTGTAGATTTCGGGTAGAGCCACATCCGAAAAATATCGTCTGCTGGGCAGCGTGTATCGCGGATCCATGTGCGCCATTAGACTGCGGAAACCTTGGTCTTCTACAACGGAAAACGGCTGGTCATCCAGTACAATAAATTCCATTACTTTCTTTGTAATGGCTTGCGCTTTTGAACCATCTCGGCTGTAACTCTGGTTTTGTAGAATGACGGATTTCACCGATGGTTGAGTGAGGGATGAAGGTCTTGCCTGTTTGCATTATCAACAGACTTTTGATACTCATCGTGTTCTTTCGGGTGATGAACTTTTAAATGTCTGATCAAGTTTGTTGTGCCGAATGTCTTCGCTGTTGTTCCTCCGCGATTAACTTGAACTTTGCAGACATTGCAGATTGCAATCTTCACGTCCTGCGCACAGATTTCAAAATTCTTCCACACAAATGACATGTTCGCTAAATGATTAGGCCTACAAATGTAGTCTGTGCACGCGGGCGCACTTCCGGAAAAATTGGACGAAAAAAATACAAAAAACTGTTCCGATTTATGGCCGGTCAACCGGTGCATCCCTAGTTGCATTTTCATCCATTTGCATTTTCTTTCGCCCCAACCCAGCTTGCATATGTACCAGTTGCTCACTCTCCATAGGTGTTTGCTCATATTGGTGAGGAAGCAGATAAAAGTTAACAGGCAATATTTTAGCGGGTTTGCTAGGGGGCACTGACTGCATTCGCCTTTTACCCCGTCCTTTGCTGAAAAACCCAGGAAATGATCTGTTGGCAAAAAATTTCAATTACAAACCAAAATAATTACCATCAAATAATGTAATGTTTCTTTATGTCAATATTAAATAAAAATAATGTAGTTGCAAAACCTGGTCATCTCAGTTTGGATGGTGGCCCTCTGCCTATGGAGGCTGAATCATTAAATTAATTTAATGAAAGTAATTTAATAAAACTATGTATGCACAAATACATATACATAACAGGGAATTCCTTTACCACACTATCCTTACTAACTATCCTTACCACAATAATAAATAAAAATACACAAAAAACCTGGAATTATCCTGACTGGGACCAGCTGCACTGCCTGAAGTCAGCAAAGACAACAAGTGCCTGGCTGACCTGACAACTTCACTGTCCTGTAAAAACAGTTTAAGCTGATTTTTTTTGTATCTTATAAACATTCATTATTGGTCTAATGGTCCGCTGTTTATAATGCTTTTTGCTAGATATCAGTTCAGGGTGCAGGGTAATGGTACTGAACATGAGAGTACAATAATTAGTAATTAAATGACTTACAATTTGAGATGCACTGATTGCAATTGTTTTGGCTGATTCCAATTTCCGTTTTTTTTTTGTACCTGCTGATACTGATTTTTGTCTTTTTGTCAAAACTACAGTTGACATCATATACAAACAATCTATAGTTTTTTTTTTTTCAATGCAACATTTTTTATTCTTATATTCTTATTGCATCATCTTTCACATTAAATTCTTACATTGTGTCAATTAATT